ACGATCAATCGTAGCTGTTTTTTTGTGGAAAATCCTTTTTTTAAAATTCCTGGAGACTATAGAGCGCCCATTTCTGAAAATTGGCACCCAATAGTCAATTTTTACGTTTTTTCCAACATTGTAATTTTGATCAACTTTGCATGAGATCAAAAATTTCGAACCGGTTGATATGCGTATCTCACTATCAATTTACTAAGGAGTGCCTCATGGATGCAGCTTTTAGGGTGAAAACTATTTGATACCAAACGATAACGCGAATATCGATGTTGGAAATTTACGAGAACGTGCAATCAATGCGCAAGACGTGCTCTACGATATTAGCAGTCACAATCCATTTGTCACAATATTTTTATTAGATTGCTGCCGAACATATCAAATATCAAATCGTAAATCAGGTGGACGCAATGAACATTTGACTTATTTAGAATCAGTGGGCTTGAAAGCAATGGATGCTAGAGCTGGATCATTGATTGCCTTTGCTTGTGCACCTGGAACCGTAGCAGATGATGGGAAAGGTCAAAAGAACGGCTTGTTTACAAAACATCTTCTGAATCATATTGCCACTCGTGGGGAAGATATACGCATAATACTAGCTGCTGTTACTGCCTCAGTGAAGGAGGAATCGAATTCAAAGCAGATTCCATTCATCAGTGCTACACTCTGCTACCCGAAGATATGTTTATACGATCATGATACAGGCAAGGAATGAAGTGTGAAAAATAATCAGAATGTTCGACAACAGGGTTTATACTCCTATCAAGGCAAAATACTGAAGCGAAAAAATGTTTGAGATAAGTCTTCCATGTTCAAGTTGAATCTGAACAGAATATCTGTTAAGTTGTTCCTTTGTTTCATTCTTTTTCTGACAACCAGAACGCTAGTCTTAATTTGTAAATCCAAGATAGCGAGCATGAACGGAAAATTGCGTCTCATATTTTATTCGCCATTCATGATCCTATCGGATATCTAGGGCGAAGCTGAGGGATCAGATTCTGTCGAATGATCTTAATGCCGATCGAATCCTACCAGCAATAATCGAGTATCCAATGATCAGGATTCGGATAGTCGGATTCGACTGGATATGAGCAGATTCCATCGGCTTTCGTCAGAATTCGACAAGATCCGATCAAACCCGGATCGAAATCCTGGTCGCCGGTTTTTTTGACATGGATAGCACTAATTTTCTTACTGTCACTTGAGTTTGTTTCCATCAATAAACTCCCATTCACTGCTCTACAACCATGCACAGTGGTATTGTTACTTGAATTCTGTTGAAGGAAGAGAACAAAGACATCAGGAAGTCCAACTTTCTCCATCTCACTTTTCTTTAGGAAAGAATTCCAATTTCAAATGAAGTTCATAGTGAGGCATTATCCATATGCCCCTCTGTCTTCGTGATTTCTCTTTATGTCATTCTTATCTCTCTCATGATCTCTTTCGGGTTGCATATAGAAGCGTGCGCTCTCTGTGTAACCGGTGCTATAGATGATGTAAGGAAGCCGCATAATGTTTATTATATCACTGTATTAATTTCCGATATGGAAAATCGTTATAGATTGTCTAATAGGCCTGATTGGGGCCTGGGGTGTGGATATGAGTTTGAATGTGAATAACATCGGTACCCATGTCCTCCATCTACGATTTTAATATTTTAGCAGCACCTTTGCATTGTGCACAGATAGATCTCTCCCCTTATGCCCGATGGTCACCCAATGGTATCACCGTGTCTGGTGGTCATGGACAAGGCAGTGAGCTGAGTCAACTGAACCACCCATATGGGCTGTATGTGGACGACAATAAAATCATTTATGTTGCTGACTACGAGAATCATCGTATTGTGGCATGGCCACCAGGTGCTACCTATGGTCAAGTAGTAGCAGGTGGGAATGGACCTGGACAAGGGTTGCATCAATTAAATAAGCCAACCGATGTGATCATCGATCATGCAACTGAGAGTCTTCTCATATGCGATTGTTTAAACAGGCGAGTGGTACGCTGGCCTCTTCGTGGTGGTATTCGTGGAGAAATTCTCTTACGCGACATCAACTGCCGTGGTTTGACAATGGACGATTGTGGCTTCCTCTATGTCTCTGACGTCAGAAAACACGAAGTCCGACGTTGGCAAGTAGGTAAAGCAAGGGGAACTGTGGTTGCTGGTGGAAATGGCCAAGGTCTTCGTCTCAATCAACTCAACTTCCCAACTTATCTATTTGTTGATAGAAATTACACCATATACGTTTCTGACAGCTGCAATCATCGAGTAGTGAAGTGGATAAAAGGCATCACAGAAGGCATAGTAGTGGCTGGTGGCCATGGACAAGGGGAAAATGTGAATCAAATGTCTCATCCGCAAGGAGTGATCGTTGATGAGGTAGACACGGTTTATGTTGCTGATTCATGGAATTATCGAATCATGCGTTGGCCTCGAGGAGCCACTCAAGGAACTGTGGTGGCCGGTGGTAACGATGCTGGACCTCAAACGAATCAATTGAACCTACTCGAAGGTTTGTCCTTCGATCGGTATGGTCATCTACATGTCGCTGATATGATCAATCATCGATTGCAAAGATTCGAACTCGTTTCTACTTGACCTAATTCTAGGCACTTGAAATAAACCGTCTTCCAATTACACAATTTTTTCTCTTTCATTTAACTTGCGTACAGACAACATGAGTAACCCTTGCGAGCAGGTGGTGGGCATCGATGTGAGGCTGTGGGTGTAGGTGGAGTGGGTGAAGTGGGCGGAGCGAGTATGGCTATGTGTGTGTGGGGTGGTGGATGTGAGTTTAGGTCTTCTCACTCGCATCCACACCGAGACCCACATCCATCATAAGATCCTTTGTTTCACAAAAATAGTCCAGGGCTGACAAAGTTCTAACAAGCAGGATTTTGGAATTCTGTGCTGTATATACATTTATCATAATACATAAACAATTTCACGCTACATTAACATAATTCTTATAAGTATAGTACACAACACCCTTCTCCTTAAAATTTTGTTACTTCAGCAGAATTTATCATATACCCGCACGTCCATACACATCTTCTCTTCAAAAAACGAAAATCTGCCGAGAATTATATTTTTTCAGCAGCATTGTGTTAGAATTTTAATTACCAGCAGAATTGTGCGTTATCATAAACACACCCCCACAGCCTTATCATATACCCCAAGGGGGAAAAAGCGGATTCCGTCTATCCCGGATACGGTCGGGATACAGAGGATACGGAGGATACATCGGGGATACAAAGGATACATCGGGGATACGGAGGATACAATGGGGATACATAG